AGGGCCTGGCGGGGGAGGGGGCATTCTTGTCGATTCAAGTTAGGGCGGCCACGAATGTCCCGAATCTGTTGGAGATATCAGAGTGCAGGGACCGCCAGGTGGGCACGGAGGCTCGGGCCTTGGCATCGCCCACGTCGTCTGTGCAGTGGACAGACAGGCACTGCAAATGGCTGCCGGGCTGGGCTGCGGAGGCCTTGTTCGCGGGGAGGTCGTGGGCTGTGGAGAAAGAAGGAAGAGAAGGGTTAGAGGCACGCTCAGCTCTGTAGGAGGCCCTGGGTGGGGGCAGGGGCGGGCAGCGTGGGAGAGGCATGAGGAGAGAGGCAGCATGCATGCCCTCCTGTCGTGCCTGAAGGCATTCTGCAGAGATCTGGAGACTACGACGACCATGTCTGGTTAAAATCCCCCTGCTCTGGCCTCGGATTCGGCCGCGAGACCTCAGCCAGCGAAGTCCTCCTGCTGGGTGGCCATTGTACACCCTTGGGAAATAGGATGGTTGGAAAGGATAGACTGGGGGGGTTGCTCATCTCTGATGAACTAGAGTTCCCAAAAGATTAGCTGGACCTGAACCAAGTTGGGAAGGTTTCCTAGAGGAGGGGCATCTAAGCTGGGCATGGGAGGATGTGTAGGAGTTCGTCAGATGCAGTGAAAGGGTGCTAGGGAAGGCTGTCCAGGTCCAGACCACAGCCCATTGTCTCGTCATCTTCCAGAAAGACATTCGCTAAGGGTCTACTATGTGCTGGAACTTCCTTAACAAGGTGCCAAACTGCTCAGTGCGGTAAAGACTGAAAGTCTGGATCCCCCCAACCAGACCAATGCCCTTTGCCCATCCTCAACTGCCGTATAAAGGGACTTTGGGTGATAAGGGTGAGGGAGTCTATTCCTCCCTACACGCTTAGCAAAAAAAAATCCCTTCCATTTCCTTCTCACTCGGTCACACAGCACCAGAAACATCACAGGTCCTAGTGATGTCTGGATTAGACACACTGGAGGGAAAGGTTGTTTGACAACCATTCACACCTTAGTCTGAATTAGACCCAAAGAGCACAAGAACTGGGAGTTCTGAGGCAGGGAAGGAATAGAGCAGTCCTTATGGAGGACTGCTAACTTACTGTCCCCCGGTGACCAATGGTTCTATTCTGAGACATACTGTACATGGATGACTATTCTCATTATTCCCTTTTTATATAGCCTGAATCTCAGAGGAGAGGTGACCTTCCCAAGGTCACACAGCCCCGAAGGTGAATTTCTGATTCAGCAGACATGAGAAAAGCTGGGATTGGGGGGCCCACGTTGGGCCAAGAGAGCACACCCAGATACTGAACTCCATAACCTACCCGCCCTCCTCAGCACACTGTGCAGGCCCAGCCAGGCCGGAGTCACCTCGCCCATCTCGCCTTCTGGGATTAAGAGTGAGGCCTCCCTCGGGAGCTGAGAAAATCCTCCCAGAAGGACGGGCCCAGGCAGCCAAGGCCAGGCTGTGACTAACCGGGTCTGGGGCCCCCACCCTGGAGCCCTAGAGACACCCAGCTTTGGGATGCTGGGAGGAGCTGGGGCTGGAGAGGAAGTTCTCTCCTTGGCTCCTTCCCTCATTCATTCCATTCATAGGCCTTTGTGGAGTTCCAACCAGGGGCCAGGTGTGCGCTAGCCCTGCGGGTCCAGCAGGAAACGGGGCAGACAGCCTCCCCCTGAGGAGCCGGCGTCATAGCACAGTCACTGTGGAGTCACAGACTGAGTCCCAGTCCCACCACCATGCCTTGCCGAGGCGTCTCGGAGTCACAGACTGGGGGCTAGAGTCCCAGTCCCACCACCATGCCTTGCCGAGGCGTCTGCCACTTTCCCTCTTCCAGCCTCAGTTCCTGGTTGAAATGGGGGTGACGTCATCGCCCTTGGGGCCTTGTCATCGCCTGGTATGCACAGAGACCCCCACACAGGGCTTCTGGGACTGTCATTAGTCTCTGGGGAAGGTCAGAAGGCCAGGGGTCCTTGCACCCGTCTAGAAGCCCCCAAGCCTCGTTCCCCTCCTTGGCAATGGCCAGATGGACACGCTCCTGTCCATGAAATTGGAGTCTTCGCCCCATTTCCTGGAAGGAGACGCTCAGGTTGTGAGCCTGGTTAGTGGCGGTGAGGCTGGGAGGCTTCCTGGGGAGAAGGTAAGCCGGAAGGGAGTGGCCTCCGATTCAGGCTCCCCTGCACACAGTGAGCCAGCCCTGGGTTCTAGCGATGGGTGCGCACAGCCTTCACACTTCTGCCCTGGGGCCCACGCCGTCTATACGCCCAGTGACTCCGCTGCTTAGCACCCCCAAGAGGAGTTCTGTTCCCAGCACTGCAAGATCTGGATTGGCAAGAGGGCTAGCCGAAGAGAGCGGTTCCAAGAGGGGCTCCTCACTTCACTTTACACGCATTATCTCCAGGAGCCGACACAGCAATGCGTGTGCCCATTTCCCAGGCAGGAAACCAAGGCCTCTTGCCAATGTTGGCACCGCCCAAGAAAGACAAGACCCACACACCCAAGCTCCTGTCACCTGGTTCCCTTGCTCAGTGGCTGCAGCATCGGCATTTCCTGAGCTACGAGGAGGCTTAGGGACGCCTCTGCCACCTGGGTTTGCTGAGTGACGGTTCCAGATGGACCGGAATGGCCAAACTTTCTCAAGATACTCTGTTCCCAACTTACAGGATGCAGCCAGACACCAACACCCGAGACGGTTGCTCTTCTTACACAGGGTGGAGTTTATCAGCGCACAGCGGAGCCCTTTCGTGGATTATCTAATCCCATCCCCTAGCAAGCCCAGCAGCTGGGTGACCCTTTTCCCCACTTCAGAGGAGGGTCCCTGGGGCTCAGAGAGGGTGAGGGGCTTGCCTGATGTCACAGAGCACTGGCGTAGGATTCCCTAGCCTCTGCCTGGGATGAACGAGGGAGTGTGGTATCCACGGGGAATATTTTGAAGAGGGAATATTATTCTTCGGTTCTTGACAACCCAAGCATGACCCAACGCATCCTCCCGCCGGATTCATTCCAGCTGGGGGGACCCAACACGCCCTGGGCCCGCGGCTCCCCCGGGCTGCCGAGTGGCTGCCGATAAATCAAGTCCTGCGGAAGCCGCCTCAAGTCGGGGCCTGCCCCGGCTCCGAGAGGCCCTCGTCCCTGCTCCTGGGGCGGCAGGCACGCCGGCCCCCACGCCAGGACCCAGAGATAAACCGCCCCCAGGATTGGGGGGAGCCCTGGAGTTACTCGGCGCTGGCACAGGCAGACACCGTGGAACCTAAAGGGAGTTGTCGTGATTCCCACGTGTTAGCTGTCAGCCTCCCCCATCAGACTGGCTGCCTGGGGGAGGGGCGGGCTTGGTATGTTCCGCACAGCAGCCCAGGCACCGCCGGCACTCAGCGGGGGCCTGTGCGCTGACTCTGAAGAACCTCCATCCCTACTTGACAGATGGGAAGACTGAGGCTCCATGAGGCTGGTTACCACCGAGGAGGCCTGCCCTCTCCTTTTTGGCCCAGGACTCCTAGCGGCGTGGCCAAGGTGGACTCCTGGATCCCCCCAGACCTGGGCAGCTGGCCCCTAACTGCAGGGCCTCAGTTTCCCCCTCTGTGACTTAGGGTGGTGATTCCTGGCCGGCCCTGTGCGGAGCAGCTGGGGGAGACCATCAAAAAGCCGGTGATGCTGTGCATGCGGGGGCGGGGGGGCGGGGG